GATGGAACGGGTAAGTAGAAAGTTTTTAAATAAAGTAAAAAGTGTGTGGAAAAATTTGTAAGTGAATTTTTCTCGTAAATTTTTCATTAAAATCAAACATTACTTCCAATCGTTAAATACTACTTGTAATCTCGATATTTTACAATTTTACAATAAAATTGAAATATAGGATTCGTGGCAAATATTAAAATTAAATATAATTTGTAAATATTGCAAATATTTGTACTAGAATTGAAAGATGCCTGTTTCGAGGAATCATATTGGAACCTTGGTTCATTAAATATTACTTGTAATCTCTATATTTTACAATTTTACCAGTAAAATTAAAATATAAGATTTGTAGCAAATAGTTAAAGTATTAGAAAGATGCCTGTTTCGAGAAATCATATTGGAACCTTGGTTCATTAAATATTACTTAAATACTGATCTCGATATTTTACAATTTTACCAGTAAAATTGAAAATATATAAGATTCGTAGCAAATAGTTAAAGTTTGTATTAGAAAGATGGCTGTTTCGAGAAATCATATATAAACCTTGGTCCAGAGGATTTGGACTGGAATGATACCGATCGAAAGAAGAAGGGGGAAGACAAACAGAAGGGGTGGCGGGGTTTTTCTTTTCTTCTTCTTTCCATGTCGAGGAAAGTATATTCGAGTTGTGGTTCGGAGGAAAGCCGAGAGTGGCGCGGGACTCTCGACGGGGGGCCGCGTATCGTGCGCCCTGCTCGGGGTGATAATTTGCAAGAGACGACAGAAATGGATTGGCAAAGTATGCTCTTCTCGCCGATTGAAAAATTCCCCGTTCGTGAACGCTTTTTTTATTAATTTATTTACGGGTGAACCTGCTCGAAGGATGTGTCTTCGCTTAATTTTAATAACACGATAGTTCGTACTCTCGAGAAACTCGCGATTGTTCACCGCGTTTTTGTTATTGATTTCGATCGAAAAGGATGAATCGTGGATTTGTATTTATTTTTTAATACGATTAAACTTACTTTTCTAATTTTGTACATATGCAAGTCATGCATAGATTCTTCTACTTACAAAGTGCAAATTTATTGAGTGCAAATTCTATTTTAGAAGACATTCGTTCATAAATTGAAAATTGTGAAACATAACAGCAATTATTCTTTTTATCAAAAGATAAAATATCTTTTATCGAGAAAAAGATTCGTCATCTTTCTCTTGAAAACTAATATTCAGGCAAAAGTTTCACGAATTACGATTCGATGAGAGAATTCGAAAACTTATCCTCGGAAATTTTTGGAAAACCAATTCCTTAAAATTTATTCGATAAACTTCTCTAAAATCAGTCCTACTCAAAACTGTAGAATTCGACTTGCGAGAAATCGAACAATTCGTTCCATGGCGAATTTCAAAATTTCATAAAAGAAGAAGGGGAAGAGGAGTAGGAAGAAAAGTAAAAACGCAAGGTAAAGAAAAGCGTATCGCGGGATGATTACGAAAATGGTCGCGTGCGACTATTAAGCTTCGCCTATTAATAAGTAATTGTTCGTTCAGAGAGAGATCGGTCGTAAAGATATCGAGCCTCGTTACATACTTGACTCGTTTAATTCTCGCTGAAGAGCGATGCTGGGGGGAAGAAGATGGGGGCGAATTCGAGTTTGTACGCCGGCGAAAGTGTTGGAAAACGGTCTCACTTTAACCGTCTCCGCCGTAGGAAACCCTCGCGCGAGTAATGGATCCGCGCGCGCCGGATCCAGAAAATCGTAAGTATCCAGCGGGAAAGTATCCGCTTGCACGCTATCTTAGCGGCGATCGCTATCTGCGAAATTGCCTTAAATATTCCAAGGGACTCGTTCCACGATAAATTATGCAACGATATTGTTTCTATCATTCGGCGAACGCAATCCTCCTCCTCCTCCTCCTCCTTCTCCTTCTAGTTTTCAATAAGTCCCGACGAATAATTCACCGGTTTAATCAGCCGGAAGGAAGCCTCGTTTCCTCTGTTTTTCTGTATTTGTATTCGGGAGTGGATATTAAAATTGTTACTTTTGTTATTTATGCGTTTGATTATTTAATTTTTTAAAAAAAAAAAAGAAAAGAAATGGTTTGGTCGTGCCCTTCGTTCGCTGTTCTTTTTTTCAATAAACAGGAAGAAAAACGAAATGGATTCGTTTTTTCTAGTTTTATAATATATTACAAGATGATAAATTCCAATTTAAAATTTTTAATTTTATTATTTTATATATAATGATAATATGCTTTCAATTTTTCAAAAAAGAGAAATTAAATGATTTGTAGCAAACAGGTGGCATAGATGATCGTTTATTTTTAAAGGAAAATGATATATGTCTGATGAAATCATTCCGTTTTTTTTTGCTTTCATGATTTATGAAGTTGATCGGTACGACTTTACCGTTTAATCAACTGGAAGGAAGATGAAGTGGAACTTTTATTTTTCCTCTATTTGTGTAATAATACGCGAGTAAATGGTAAATTCTGTTTTAAAATTGTTGATAAACAGAATAAAAAAAATAGTTTCGTAGTTTCCGTTCCCTGTTCTTTTTTTTTTTTTTAATCACCCGAAAGAAAGAGGAAATCGCTCTGTTTTCTCCACTTTTGTAAATTCCAATTAAAAATTCCAATTAAAAATTTCTAATTTTATTATTATATATATATATATATATATATAATGATGATGTTCAATTCCTGAAAAAAAGAGAAATTAAATCAGTTTCACAAGTTGATTTATAGCATAAATAATTTGTGGCATAAATAATCGTTTATTTTAAAGCGAATGATATGTATCTGAAATCATTCCGTTTCTTTGCTTTCACGATTTATGAAGTTAATCGATACATCTACTTCTGATGCGGCTCGTATATACTTGGTACTTATAAAAATATAACACAGTAGTGCATTATTGTATCGATCTATTGTACGATTCATGCCATTATTTTTATTCTCTTGGCATTTGGCTTGCTTGGAAAACTTTAATCATACCTTGTCATACCTTCGAACGAAATAAGATAAAGAATAAATAAAAATAGGTAACTTCGATGTTCCGAATGCTCTCAATTCATGCTCTCAATTTCCTTTCTTTTCTCTCTCTCTCTCTTTTTCACATTTTAAAATTCACAGATAAAAAGAATATATATACTGATACAATATAATAACACTTCCTTATCCAACAATTGGAAAAAAAAGAAAATATCAAAAATCTTTCTCCTCCTAATATTTAAACAATTTTATCAATATATATATATACGTACTTTTTAAATATTTATATATACAGACGTGGAAGCGCTACAAAACGCTATAATTGGCGGTAAGAGGGAATATAAAAATTCGATCGTTCAGCCGTAATTTGGAGAGTGTCCGGTGGTGGCGGCCGGCTTGTCATAAACCGGATTTACTGTCGGGCTTCGTGAACTTTACGAGGATCGGCAAAACGTTGTGTACAAACGTTGTGGGTATAAAAGAGAACAGGGGGAGGGGAGGCAGAAAAGGCGTAGGAGGTCGAGGGAAGGACAGGTTCAAAGAACTCCACGAATTATAGAAAATACGAGGGCCGGCCGAGCGGTTAATTTCTGCTACCCCTGCAGCTCGTGGAATTATTGAAAATGTTCGCGGATGAAACTTTTATCCGATACCTCCTTCACACAGGAAAGGAAACAGGATGCTCCCTTGAATTTATTTTGCAAAACGATCGCTCAGCTCCCTCTCCCCTTTCCCTCTTTCCTCCTTTTCCTTCTAGAAGAAGCTGCGACGAGCAAACTAATCGATCAGATCGCTGTAATTTCCAATTCTAATTCGTATAAATATAATGCTCGACGAACATGTAATAATCCTCTTACGTCAGATAACACGTCAACAGACTGCCACATCGTTTTCGTGTGAATTTGAACACGATGAATCAAAAACTATCTATCTTCGATTGTACAATTCTTTTCTTCAAGAGAAACTTAAACGTTCTCGAATCTTGAATCCTTTTGGTCCAATTCCACGGAATCGAAAGAATCGGAAAGAATCGAAAATCCTCTCCTCTCCTCTCCTCTCAAGATGGCTTCGACTCGCGTATTCCAAGCTGTCAGAGTGTCCCGTCCAGGGATCGGGGCACGAGCTACGTAACAGCAATTAACCATCGGTCAATTAATAACCGGCCGTTATAGATGCTGGCAGGGATCGTTTCGATCGCGTGGAATCGCGTACATATACACGGTCAAAGTGTTTCGTGTGCGCTAGTGTATCGTTTCTATTCCCTCCCCCTCGCCTCCCCACCTTCACCTCCCGGCGAAACGCTCCGGTGTATCGTATCCCTGCCCCCACTGTGTATGGACCCCTCACCCTCGCCTCCGCCGTCGCGTACACTCGCGTCCTCGTCCGTGTGTGCAGCTAAAACGCAGGAAAGGGGGGAACGTAATAGCCTCGCATGATACACCGCCATTAATCCGCGTATATACCCTTCCATACTTTGGAGGAATAGACACCTCGTACGCCTCGGTTTCATAGCCGGTTCATCAGCCGGATATCTCCTTCCCCTCCACCTCCTCCTCCCCTCCTCTTCCCTCCCTCGCCCCTTCCCACTCCTTCGCCCCTTCCTGTCTTTTCCTCTCGCTCGCGATGATTTAATTTCGCCCCGTCTTCCTCTCCCTCCCCCTCTTCTCTCCTCTTCTTTCACAGAATCTCCCCCACGGGCGAGCGAAGATTCGGAGAGAGAGGATCGGATGACCAAGCCTCCCAGGAGGGGGTTGGACGAATTTTGGGGGTTGTTTTTTTCGTTATGTTGGTGGAGGTGGTTGGTCGAGATCAGATGGATCAGAAGGTTTTAATAATCTCTTTTCTCTTTTCTTTTTTTTTTAATTTAAGATTTAACTTGGAATTTAAAATAGTAAGTAGCGAAAAGAATATTCTGTTTAATTCCGAGTCGTAGGAAGAGAGAGAGAGAGGAGGGTATTTTGTTGCTCGTCGATTAAATTTGGCTTTCGAAATCTGAAAAAGAAACGAAAGAATAAACGAATAGTTTGGAACTGACCTGCAGGAACATTTCGCCGTCGAGATGATGATGGTCGTATGCGGCGAACGCCGCCAACTCCCTCGCCCGATAGTGAGAATCGTGGTGCGAATTTTCTTCCTTGTCTTTGTGCATCACCACTGTAAAAGAGATTTGAAAAAAAAGATTCATTAATCGTGACGCTTCCACTCGTTTCATCCCTTCCCTTCCCTTTGATTTTTTCTAAATTTCCAAATTATTTATTGCGAAAATCATCCCTTCCCCTTCCTTTAATTTTTTTCTAAATTTCCAAATTATTTATTGCGAAAATCATCCCTTCCCTTCCCTTCGATTTTTTCTAAACTTCCAAATTATTTATTGCAAAAATCATCCCTTCCCTTCCCTTCGAATTTTTCTAAATTTCCAAATTATTTATTGCGAAAATCGACGATATCGTTATTCCAAATATAACCGACGACAAAATACTTGATCTTTATCAGAATCAAAAAAAGAAGAGGAATAATTCGAATAATTTCTCGTAAGAGTGGCTTATCCATTCCACTCTCCTCCCTCTTCTCGTCCATCGACCCTCTTCGCGTGAAAGAGAATCGAGAAAGAAACGAAAAGGGAAGGGAGAAGGCAGTGGACGCAGCCGCCACGTACCCCTCTTTATCTTCTCAAATCGGATCCTTCCGCTCG